CAGAAAAAAATGCAGCATATGAACTAAGAAATGCTGATCTGTCATTTAAAACTCAATATGCGAGAACAAACATGCTAAAATATTCCTATTTCCATAGAACAGTTAAAGCCTGGAATTGTTTACCTATGCATGTCAGAAAGTCTGAGTCTCTTTCTGATTTTAAGAGTCTTTGTAAGGCTTATTTATACCAGTTAGACACTGAATTAACCTAATTTATTATTATTATTATTATTATTATATTAGTATAAATATATATAGGTATGTGTAGTGTTTTTCTTTTTTGGGTGGCCTTTTGTAAGGGAACCTGTTCCTGTCTCTTGGCCTTCCCATCAGCTTTGTATATATGTTAAGTTTGTTGAGAAAATGATTAAAGTTAAAGTTATGGAAACTCAGCAGCTTTTCCTGTTTTTCACTTAAAAATCCATTAGATCAAGTGACACCTTTCTAAATCTCCAGGGTCCCCCGCCTCTGCTTCTTTCAAAGGGAGATAGTTCTGGGCTGTGGTTTAGGGTCGAAAGCTTTTTAGTAAACACTGAAAAATATATCCATTTTTTTTAATTTGACCTTAAATATTTCTTCTGACCTTCGGGATTTACTTTTTCCATTTCTATAGAAATGACGACAAAATTTCATAGATTATTAATTGAAAGAGAGCAATTAAACGGCGAAGTTCACATCAGTGAGAAATTGCTCCCTCGTGTCGTACTATGAGCCGCACAAGCTTTAAAATCCAAATGACATTTTTGTTGTTTTCAGGATTTTTTATGTTAGCAGTCTTTTAAGACGTGCAGTTAAATACATTTTATTACGCTCACAAATCAAAGAAAAGAAGCAAAAGTGAGATTTAGTGGCAAAAGAGAAGATGAAAGTTAATCAAACCTGAAATAAAAAGATTTATCGCAATATTTTTTAATAAATTTACTTCCCAACGAAGAATTAATAATTGCTAAAAGTAAAAAAACAGTGTGTTTAGGAAGAAATCCTTGAGGGAAAAGCCTAGAGTCTAACACATTCTAAGCCTTGATTCCACCAGACAGAGGATCAAACGCCACCGTCACCGCAATTTCAAAATCGAAGTCTTTTTATAAATGAAAGAAGATGCGTTTGCATAAAAACTAAATGTCCGACGTCGTGAAACACATCTTTCTCTACATTCTGGCTTCACGCAATTAGATCACGCCAGCAGCTTTTTTCTTGAAATTTCAATTAACTTTTCGGGGGCGTAGCAATATTATCGATAGTTTAATCCTATTTTTAAAATTTTCTAACTCTAAGGAAAAGAAGTGCAGGGTTTGGCTCAGCAACCAGATCATTTTATTTTGAATGCTGATTTTCCTATTGACTTTGATCAGTTATACTAGTACTTAGACGTTGCGTGGCCTAGCGAAGACTACGCAAAGCCATTCAAGAGCCTCGTGTAGACATAATATAAAAATAGACAGTTCAGACTGCACATGGCTACTGCTGCCGCATCCCACATAAAATATAAAAATATAAAAATATAAAAATATAAAAATATAAAAATATAAAAATAGACAGTTCAGACTGCATATGGCTACTGCTGCCGCATCCCACATATTTGTGAGTACTCCATGTTGAGAGAGACTTGTGCTTGAACAAAGAAGGGAATGGGGTAAATTGTAATTTCAGCTCTGCCGACCAGCGAAGAGCAAATTAAATTGCCGCATGTGATCAAGTGTACTTCCTACACCGTTGAGCTTGAAAGTTCTCGAATTTAATTTTTTTTTTTGCGTGTATTTTTTTAATTATCCCCAATCGTAGGCGGTCCTTCTTCTTACGTGGCCAATCTGCTGACTCAACGGTGTCTTTCCTATATTCTTTTGCAGATGTTTGCTGTCATATTCGATCGCCTTTGAGTATTTGAAGAGAGAGAGAGAGAGAGAGAGAGAGAGAGAGAGAGACGGAGAGATATGGCTCAGAATAAATCAATTCTCTTTACCTAGCTACGTCAACAACTCTTGATTTATTTGTGCCCTGTGTGTACACTTTTTGTTAACTTAATAACAATGAGAGTTGGTACATTACTTGCAGTCCTAAATAACCATAAGGCTTAGAAAAAAAAAAAAAAAAACAGGGCAGCCATACTAAAACGAAACCTCCACAGGGGGAACACGTTACTGTTAATCTCTTGCATTATGAACATTCGCTTGAAAAATTTCTGTTTTGTAGTTTACTACTAAATATTAAGTGCAAAAAAACAGAAGAATCGCTCACTGTCGATCAAAATATTTGTGCCCATGTGAATAGGACCTTTCTCCATTCAAGATCCAGAAGATCTGATGATGCAATTGTTTCAGTCCTTGCTCTGACATTACATTATTTATTATAGATGATACGCATCTCAAAATAATTTCTCAATAGTGTCTCCGGCACGTCATTGAAAACGAGACTTTTCCTTGAAGAAAACTTTTAATTATTCGAAGAGAGAGCATTTCTACCATTTCGAACAACGACCTATGGTCAAAAGAGCCACTAAAGTTGCAAAGCGAGAAAGGTCCGAAATACATTTCACAGGATAAACCTATTTGATGGAATGGTGGAACGGTGAAATGGCGGGATAGCGGAATATCCTACAACCCGGAATGCCCTGTTGAAAAGCAGAAATCTCACAGAAATAGAAAATGTTGCAATGAATAGAGAAAATGATTTATAATTAATAGGAAAAATTGAAAGAAGCATAGTTTAATCACCGACAGAGGGCCAGTGAGGCTCTTGAGCTAGTGCCTATAAATTATCATCATTATTACTATTATTATTATCATTATTATTATTGTTAATAATGGTTATTTGTTACGGTAACATATAATTGAAACTCAATCTATGATTAAGCACGATTATTGGTTGACTGTCAGTTAGTCACTATATTCTAGAATCATCTTCCTCTTGTGGCACAGGGTACTCGCAAATATGTGGGATGCGGCAACAGTAGCCCTATGCAGTCTGAACTGCCTATTTCTATGTTATGTTTGCATGAGGCTCTTGAATGATTTTGCGTGGTCCTCGCTATAGGTCGCACAAAGTCTAAGTACTAGTATAACTAATCAAAGTCGCTAAGGAAATCAGGATGCGAAATAATATGATCGGGTTTCTGAGCTAAATAATTTGGATATATCAACAAAGTTGAAATGGTAAATTGGCCACCGTAACGATTACAAAAGCTGACGTTTCGAGCGTTAGCCCTTCGTCGGAGCGAATAGAGGAACTGTGGGTTGTGTGTGCTTTTAAAGGCAGAAAATGGAGCTACGTTAATGGTGGGAACATGGCAAAGAGAGAAACACGAATAAATTAGTGGAATGAAAAGCGTTCGTTGGAATGAAAAGCTCCATTTTCTGCCTTTAAAAGCAAGCACACACAACCCACAATTCCTCTATTCGCTCCGACGAAGGGCTAACGCTCGAAACGTCAGCTTTTGTAATCGTTACGGTGGCCAATTTACCATCTCAACTTTGTTGATATATCCACAATATTTCGTTACCCCCACCGACGCAGCTCCAGACAGTTTCTTTAGAAACTATCAGCATTTATCAGTAATATTGCTGCGAGCCCGAAAAGTTAACGGAACTTTCAAGAAACGGGCTCCTGGCGTGATTTAATTGCGTGAATAAGCCAGAGTGTAGAGAAAAGTGGTTTTCGTCTAGTTACAAAGTACAAGCGTGGGACGATGAAACCCTTCTGAGTCCCAATAAGGAATCCAACCTCAGACTTTCGGATTCCGCGCTCCGATGCTCTACCACTGAGCCACAAAGCCTCGATCCATGATGAGCAAGGTTCATTACGAAGTTCATATACTATTCGTATAGGTAATCACATGATTTCGAGTGCAATTTGGAATAAATAAGCACGCGAGTAAATTTTTTCAAAGACAAACAAAATTGCATGAGCCCGTAGGGCGAGTGCAATTTGTGGTCTTTGAAAAAATTTACAAGTGCTTATTTATTCCAAATTGCACGAGAAAATCATGTGATTATCTATTAATAATATACATGAAAAATACGAGGTAGCTTCTCATAACTACGCAGAAGAAAAGCGCGCGCATCACGTGCAAAAATAATTTATTCAAACCCTGCAAGTGACATTGAACTTGACATTGACATTGACTAACCATTCTGACCAATCAGAATGTCTGGTTTGTTTCTTTCTGTGCACTGAATTAACCCTCTTCTGCACTGAATTAACTCTCTTCTGCACTGAATTAATTGAAAACTGCATTCATCTTAACCAATCAGAACTGAGAAATGTTTTCATGTATATTATTAATGCAGAAATTTCATCATGTAGCTGATATCTCAAAATAAACCCGTTAGCTCCCAGATCAGTTTGTTACGTCACAAAGAGCTTTTTCCTGTCTTGTCGATTACACAATGTTCGGAGTCTACCTTCCTTTTCTCTTCCTGAAGATCTTGCTCACATTTTATCTTCTTATAGTTAAAGGAAACGGTAAGTGCGGAGCGTTTTTTAATTCATATTAAGAAGTTTTAAAGTTTTTCTAATAACACGACGTCGGACATTTAGTTTTTATGCAAACGCATCTTCTTTCATTTATAAAGACTTCGATTTTGAAATTGCGGTGACGGTGGCGTTTGGTCCTCTGTCTTGTGGTTGAATCAAGGCTTAGAATGTGCTAGACTCTAAGCTTTTCCCTCAAGGATTTCTTCCTGAACACGTTATTTTTTTCCTTTTCATAGCAATTATTACTTCTTCGTTGGGAAATAAATTTACTAAGAAATATTACGATAAATCTTTTTATTTCCTTTCATTTTTCTTTATGCCATTAAATCTCACTTTTTCTTTTTTTCTTTGATTTGCTATGATTTGTGAGCGTAATAAAAGTATTTAACTAAACTTCTTAAAAGACTGCTAACCTTAGTGTTAGTTAAAGAAAAACCTGAAAACAACAGAAATGTCATTTGCATTTTAAAGTTTGTGCGGCTCACAGCACGACATGCGGGAGCAATTTCTCACTAATGTGAACTTCGCCGTTTAATTGTTCTCTTTCAATTAATAATTTATGAAATTTTGTCGTCAGTTCTATAGAAATGGAAAAAGTAACTACAAAAGTCAGGATCGGAATAACTATTTAAGGTCAAATAAAAAAAATTGACACATTCTTCATTGTTCACTAAAAAGCTTTCGACCCTAAACCATAGCCCGGAACTATTTCAATTTAAAAAGCAGAGGCGGAACCATGGAAATTTAGAAAGGTGTCACTTGATCGAGTGGATTTTCAAGTGAAAAACAGGAAAAGCTGCCGACTTTCCTTAAAAAAAAAAAAAAAAACAGAAACTGGTCAGACCAGTATAGATTTGCTGTCGGGTTCATGTTGTAACTTGTTGGCTAGTGAGACCTTTTAGGGCTCACGTTTGACAAGTGCTGTCCTCGCTACTACGGTCAGCGGTGTTGAGAGAGACTTGTGCTCAAACAAAGAAGGAAAAAGGGTAAATTGTAATTTCAGCTCTGTCGACCGGCGAAGAGCAAATTAAATCGACACAAGTATTAAGTATATTTCCTGCACCATTGAGCATGAAATTTCTCAGATTAAAATTTGTTTTTTTGCGTGTACTTTTTAAATAATCCTCGATCGTAGGCGGTCTTTCTTCTTACGTACGTGGCCAATCTACTGACTCAACGGTGTCTTTCCCATTCGTTTGCAGATGTTTGCAGACTAGTTCGATACCAACTCCCCCTCCTAAACAAATCACTCATTGATCACGTGATTACTGGCGTGCTTGTAAAGGACGATGACGAGTGCCAGCTCCGATGTTACATGGAGCCTAGGTGCCTCTCTTATAATCTGGGACCTCATATGCCTTATGGACACGAATGTGAAATCAGCAATTCAGATCATGTGCAACACGCTCAAGATTTAGTTTCTAGACCAGGTTACACCTACATTGGGACTGAGGTACAGAATAGTTCCTGTAAACTCTCTTGTTTTCAAGCTTTAAATTTTAACTTCTTTAACATATTTCACGTCACCAGGTGTTTCACCTTTTTGTCACCCTTTCTTCTGTGACCGCGAGAGAACCGCTTTCAATTTAGGACGTTCTTTTCTCTTTCATCCATCAGCTAGGGAATGAGCTTACTATAGTACTAACTAGACTGATCACTTCTGTATTATTTTGGATTGTAGTCATCGATTTTAATCCCTACACTATGATCAGTTAATCAATACCTTACGCTAGAATCATAAAGCTGTCATATTCGATCGCCTTTGAAAATTTGGTGAGAGAGGGAGAGAGGGGGGGGGTGAGAGTGGGAGAGAGAAACAGAGTGAGAGAGGGGGGAGAGAGAGAGAGAGAAACAGAGGGAGAGAGAGAGAGAGAGGGGGAGAGTGGGAGAGAGAAAGAGAGATATGGCATAGAATAAATCAATTGTTTCTACGTAGCTACGTCCACAACTCTTGATTTATTTGTGCCCTGTGTGTACACTGTTTGCTAACTTAATAACTACGAGAGCTGGTGGATTATTTGCAGTCCTAAATAACCATAGGGCTTAGAAAAAAACAGAACAGCCACACTAAAAGGAAACCTCCAGAGGGGGAACAGGTTACCGTTTAAGTCTTACATTATGAAGATTCGTTTGAAAAATTTCTGTTTTGTAGTTTGCTACGAAATATTAAGTGCCAAAAACAGAAGAATCGCTCACTGTCTTAAAAAAAAGTGAAAAATATTTGTGCCCATATGAATAGGACCTTTCTCCATTCAGGATCCAACATGTTTTGAGCTTCAAAGCCAACTAGTTCTGAAAACGTTCAATACGCCTTGCGGACCTACGAGAACTTCTCTAGAGACTGCGAGTTGCAGTGCTGCGCATTAAAGCGAGGTGGCGCTCATCATGAAATTTTCACCCTGCCCAAGTTACAAAATTTGATGCATGCAGTTTGAATGAATATTGGAAAAAAGTTATTATATTCCTTTCAGAATGGATGCTCGTCTAGTCCGTGTCTGAACAACGCCACTTGCCTTTCGCTGTCACCAACAACTTTCCAGTGCCAATGTTCCTCAGGATTTACCGGGATAAACTGCGAAACGGGTCGGTAGGCTGAGCTTAGTTTAGGGACATCTTGCGAATAATAGTGAATGTAAATGATATTGATTTCGCCACGTACTTTGAGACTATATCCTCAGAGATTTTAGGCACCCCCACAAAATCGTTGTTCTTAGCATCAGTTTGAAAGTCCAGCGTGTATATCATCAAACGTATTGCCAACACATTTTCTCTCCTTTAAAGGGAAGAGTTGCCGAGATATTAAGACTGCATCACCTCATGCTCCGAATGGTATGTACCGCGTACATCCTGAGGGTGGGCGCCGCTCAATCTGGGTCTATTGCGATATGACGTCATTTGGCGGCGGATGGACGATGTGTTACTCAACCAATAACAAGGTTCATCTCAGAAAGGAAGTGACATACAACGAGAGTCTGCCATATGGTACAAACGGCTACAGAACTGACTGTAATCATATTCAGGTAAGATGAACTCTTTGAGAAAGTTAGTGATCAAAGAAAATTGAAGGAAAAATTCAAACTTGATATCTTAAATTAACCTAGACTGATTAATAAAGCTTTTATTCTTCATGCAATTAGCTCAGTCAGGGATCAGACCGGTCCTTATTTATCCCCTGGGGGTCGGGGATCGGAGGAATTTAGTTGAGTCACTATAAAATTTGTTTGATCCCCCCCCCCCAGGGTCTGTCATGAGTATTCAATTGATTCCCCCTTTTGTGGTATTCAAATTCATAAAGTCCAGCTTTATACTCTATTAGCAACGACCGATCTCTTCCCTGTTCACCATGAAATCACCTTGTTTCCCTCCAAAATCCTCTGATCCGTCTCAGAAAATAAAGAACGACAGGTTCCTTAGCTTAACGAGCTTTTTGCTTCACAAAGAATATAAATATACCGGAATTGGGTTATTTGCTTTTTGTTCGCTAAATAAAGATCTCTGCTTAGAGAACATATAAATCAGCCTCGTAAGTTCGCATCAAGAGAAAAAAATGTTCTTTCTCGTTGTTAAGGCGGTACGCACTGCGTCAATAACATGACTGATTGACCCTAGAAATAACACATAAATAATTCTCAGCTACTCGTCTATCGTGGGTTTTCCAGTATGAATTGCATTTTATTCTACAATTTATTTAGAAGACGCATCAAAAATTTTCTTAAATATTATATTGCAGTTTCGCGAAATTCTTTTTGTGGACGAACTAGAGGGTGACCACGCCTTCTTTACACATCAGTCTGGCTCTAGTCTTGTAATGGCGGGAAATTACCAAAAACAATTTCCAGGGTTCTGGAAAGCAGGAGGTGTAGCAGACACAAGATATCACTATCAGCTTCTCATCTGCAATACAAAGTTTTATTCTGGATTCCTCTTGACAGGAAACTTTTACGTTTGCAGAATACGCTGTACGTATTGGTGCAGCGATAAGATCTCTCCATTCTTCCGGACAGCGGCAAATTCAAGTGTATTTACCGGCGTGGCCTTCAATATCAATGGCCACCGGTCTCTAAAGAGCCGCCTGATCAGCGTTGGGCTGAGATGAATGAAATTCCCAAGCATGAACTTTGATTGCTTCCAATAGGAATCGAGCCTACGACTCTCTGCGAATAGTCCATTTTACAGTTGTGTGCTTGGTTGCCAAGCCTTTGAATGGGAGTGAGGCTAGAGATGAGCTTGTTATGATAGAAAACTTGCTGCCTTTCAAATGTAAATCACTTTGTTATCATGCTAACTAGGTACAGGTCTCTATCACAACAAGGTCATCTTTAGCCTCACTCTGAATCAAAGGCTTGGCAACTAAGTACTCAACTGTAAAATGGCCTATTAGCACTTCGGTTGTTCTACTTCTGAGGAATTAGAAGCTCGTGGTTGGCGGCAGGCTAGGCCATTTAACTGGATACATAAAGACAAAATTCCTGTATACTACTAGGATATGATTGTCGATATGTGATGTTTTTACGCAAAGTTAATTAGATGGTAATTATAAATTTAAAGCCCAGATTATTTCAGTTGGCCAAATCAGTCTTCTGAGATAAGCACGTTTGTACAGTGAATAGGTTACACTTCATTAGCCCTACACAGATAGTACATGTTCGAGGAGTATGCGTGTCAGATATTTTGTTTGCGAGACATAACAAGCCCGCAGATTTTGTTCTGAGTTTTCAAAACAACTTTGAATCGATTTCAACATAAACAGGAAAAAAATCTTAAAGAAAGAGGCCTCCATTCGGCACGGAAATGTCTTCGTGCGTTTATTCTTCTTTGCTCTGAGAAGGAAAGTTGTAATATAGTAGGATCGATAAATGGCGCTTACTAGTTGTATTGACAATCAAAATGAAATGTGTATGTACGTAAACGAGCCTAAAAATGTAAGTCGACCTTGTACTGCATGGCTATAATACTGATTTATTATCCGACTGAGCTAAATAACGCGCCAATCGAGTATAAATGTCACATTGTAAAAAAAAAAAAGAAAAAAAAAATTTCGTTACCCGGTCGGTTACGCGTGCTGCGCTTCGCTATCTAATTCGATCACTTTTCCCGCCTTGTAGGAAATGCATGCATGTGAAATAACGCAGCTTGATAATTAATAACTTATTCTTTAGAAGTTTCGGTGTGTTTTACTGCCAAGTATCTTTACTCGTTGTCATTCTGACTTGCCTTACGGGATCGTTCAAATACGGCACAACTCGTAAAAAGTAGTCAGTTATATTACACACCAAATGTCATAAGATACATATGTCAGAGTAGATCTGCGTGTGCTGAATAAAGTTTTTATGGTTGCTTATGCATGTGCGTTCAGACAGTACCGGGAGGCCATGATGGGCTATCGTGTGGGCTACTCTCTAAAGTACTCACCTCCGAAAAAAAAGATAATAGGGACCTTAAGAAACCACGACAGCGACGGCAACGAGGACGAGGAAAAACAAGAGATCTAATTGGCAGAACAATCGCTCAGCACGTGCGTTTTGAAACTTTGAAACAACAACGTGAAATCGCCAAAATTTGCGTCGCCTGCGAACCGAAACCGCGACGGCAAATTATTTTAATTTCCATTTGGAACTCAACGGCTGTTTTTTACGTCATGCGGAAGTTGAGCTGTGGCGCTGTATGAGACAGTAAGCTCCCGCGCAGCCATTTTTAAAATTCTAACTAAGAGAAGAAATTCGTTTTTTAATCGAAGTCTTCCTTGGCGTCGCCGTCGTGGTTTCTTAACGTCCCTATTATTTTACCGCAACGCAGGTCAGTATCTGAGCATTCGCAAACTTACTCAAAAATTTTGAACAAACACAAAAGAATTTTTATCCTGTTGACTGAAAATCGGTCTAGTATACGCAGCCGTTTCTTTTACCGTACGTATTTCTCGTACAAAACAAGTCATTCTTTCCGAAAATAGCCCATCTGCTCCTATATTACCCGCACAAGGCCGGTGTTAAAGTATTGCGCGCCCTTATATCACCATGTTTTTCCTGAAGTCATACTAAGAACGTGCTCAGAAACGCACGACTAGCATTGTATAACATTAAGGCCACAAAGAACAGTGTCATTAGCTCATGTACTCAGTGTCATCTAATACTGCGCATAAACTCCATCATCTGCTTCCACCCAAGAACAAATAGATACAATTTAAGAAAGTATAGACCCTTCCACGGTTTTTACGGCCATATTGTTTGGGGGTCAAACAAAACCTCGTTGCGTAGCAAGAAGCAATATATTCTTTTGTAATTATTCGACGCGCGTGGGTAACTTCGCTCAATATCGTAATTTTATAAAAAGAAAATCGCTTATTTTCGTCTCCAAATCTAGTGGGAACATAGATAAGGCGTTACTGAAAGTAAGTGCCGAATTTTTGGCGAAGTACCTTTTTATCACTGCGTTTTATGGGCAGATTGATATGTTGTTTGAAGGTGACCTCGTGGCCGCCATGGTGCGAGAATGGCATTTTAAAAAGCACT